TATTGTCACTATGGATGTGTGAATGTGTGTGCTCAGTGGTGTAGCCACGCTCGCTTGTATGTTGTGTATGTGCGCGTGTGCGTGTATGTATATACACATACATAAGAACTCTTTCTCGTGTTCACCCCCTTTCCAGCCAGCAGGACTACTACCACGTAGTTCTCATAGAACTGTACCGCACTGCCAAATGCCACGGACGCCATTGATCGCATACTTCACACATGCCTCACAATTGGGTTTAGAGATACGTTTTGCAGACCCGAACACGCTCTAGTGTGCGTACTTGAGCGTTTGCGTGTAGTTCACAGAGTGTGGAGTGCTATGAAATACTAGACAACGTTTTGCATAAGCACAAACGGATATATCGTGATGGTACGTTGATTCCAGTAACTTATACGTGTGTTCAGTACAGCACCAAGGTAGCTGTGCGATCATTGTTTGTTTTCTTAACGGGCTTTCGTCGCGTCAAAGGCACAACCTGACGTAAGCGTGACGTACAAATTCGTTCGGGGACGCACTTTGTATGCTGGTAGATGTCTAGGAACAAGCAGGCTGCATACGACACATCACATCGTAGCCTAGGGTTACGTGATAGGCAACTGATCTATTGGACACTTGTATGACATATGTAATAGACGATATACCACACATTACATCGTAGCCTGGGGTTAACTGATCTATTAAACACTTGTATGATATTGCTACCGCAGTGTGAAAAGCCCTGATGACGGCTGCCACTCAATAAACAATCTGGAAGGAGTCAACATCCGCTTCGACCGTCTTTTGGCACATTTCAAGCAAATACAAACTGGCCACGCGTTGCTAAATACGGTAGGTGATACATATGACTTTCAATATACATTTATACTTTTAAGCTCACTCTTGACTGACTTCTTCAAACTGCTGTGTACAGACCGTTGCATGCAAACGCGGCTATATATGTTGTGGAAGGTGGGTATGCCATGTGGCCCACATGCAACATCACGTACCACATGGCATGGGTGTATATGTGTGTGTATGTATACAACTACATACATTTGTTTGCACTCGGTGGGCGGTCTGGGGGAGCGTAGACACATGTGGTTACTGGGTTCACTGTTGTGCACACACGAGTGGTTTAGTTTTGCTCATAGTAGTATATGCGGTCCAGTAGTAAGAATGGTCTGCTCCCTATCTAACACATGATATCGTAGTTCAATATCGGGTGCATTCGTGTTTATCTAAAATGAGAATAAACCACATTTCCTACATCCCATGCAGGTTTGAGCAAGCTCTGCTTTCTTCTATGATTGCTCAATAATCCAAATCATTACCAAATTCTGGTCCGAATTCGGCTAATCTATTCCCGTATCTCTCTCGCACCGTTCCATACAGAATGACTTGCTGCACCCGTCGACCTCAGATGTACTAGAAGCGGCTCCATAGTAAACATTGAAATTAGTACAGATAAAAACAGGTCCAAAACAGATATGCACTTCACCTCTTCTTGAGCACACTCTCCGCGCATTGTCGTAGTACCAGTCCTTTTTTTTTCAATACCAGTGCCTTTTGATTCTCTATAGACCCAGTACCAGTCCTTTTCAATCAATATCGACCCACTACCAGTCACTTTTTATTCTCTATAGACCCAGTACCAGTCCTTTTTATTCAGAATAGACCTACTTTCGATCCTTTTTTATTCTCTATAGACCCAGTACCAGTCCTTATTATTCAATATAGACCCACTACCAGTGTCTTTTTATTCTCTGTAGACCTAGTACTAATCTTTTTTATTCAATATAGACCCACTACCAGTCCCTTTTTATTTAATATAGACCTAGTAACAGTCATTTTTGTTCAATATAGAACCACTACCAGTCCCTCCTTATTCTCTATAGACCCAGCCTTTTTATTCGACATATACTCTCTGCCAGTCCCTTTTTATTCTCTATAGACCCAGTACCAGTTCTTTTTATTCAAAAAGACCCACTAACAGTACCTTTTTATTCCCTAAAGATCCAGTACCAGTACTTTTTATTCAATATAGACCCAATACCAGTCCCTTGCTATTCCCTATAGACCTTGTACCAGTCCCA